AAATATTTCTAGCTGGGTATGTGCTGTTCTCACTGCAAAGGCTGGGCTTAGATGAATTACTTACATATTAAAGCACATGGTGAAACTGTCCATGATTTGTTTTGTGCCTCAGTGGGACAATTATTTGGATATCTGTCTTTCTACTTGAAGCCTTTGTGTTTGTGTTTTACATAGACAGCGTGTTACCAGGAGGAGAGGGAGGTGTTACTCAGGGGCGACCGATGCTGGATCACAGAGCTGCACTATGCCTTTCAGGATGACAACTACCTGGTGCGTATGAACATACATGATGTCAAGTATGTTGTACTTGTACTGCTAGCATATTCTGCTTTTAACAAAAATTCTGCTGCTATTTTCCAACACATCCACCCTGTCCTCCCTCAGTACCTGGTGATGGATTACTATGTAGGGGGGGACCTGCTGACTCTGCTCAGTAAGTTTGGAGACCGGATCCACGAGGACATGGCTCAGTTCTACCTGGCTGAGATGATCATGGCAATTGACTCCATCCACAGACTGGGATATGTACACAGGTACACTATTCTTCTCCTTAAACTAGGGACTATTTGTCGATGGGATCACACCAGCAGCTATGCCAAATTGGGCCACAGGGGCATCAAGTTGTTCCACACTTTTTCGCCCTTTCTGAGGCCACACCCATTTTTAGACTTGGTCCTAATCTTGATCTTAACTGCAAAACGGTTCATTTCTGTGACGCCAAATCAGGCCTGGGACTTTAAGACTACACACTAACATGTATGCACTCTATCCTGGGACTGTGACATGGAGGTAAATAATGTGATATCAATTAAATCTGACATTTAGAGATGACAATGGCCCGTTCTTCCCAATTTCTTACACAGAGACATCAAACCTGACAACATCCTGCTGACAGCGGATGGACACATACGACTAGGGGACTTTGGTTCCTGTCTAAGGCTCCTCGAGGATGGGATGGTGAGGGTTGACACTTTCTTAAAATTTTCACAAAAGATACCCTAGAGAGGGTAAAAGAATGACAAAAATCCAGCATATCATGTTAAAACATTTGTTCTTGTGAGTGAATTTTTAAAACAACAAAACAAATTGGAAATTCTGGCCATGACCTTATACATTTCTATTTAAAATCAATTGGCCTGCTTGTTTCATTTCAGGTTCACTCGTCACTAGCAGTAGGGACCCCTGACTATTTGTCTCCAGAGATTTTAAGGGCCGTAGAGGGGGCTGGAGGTTATGGTCCTGAATGTGACTGGTGGGCTGTGGGTATCTGTGCCTATGAGATGATGCTGGGGACCACACCCTTCTTTGCAGAGTCCATCTCGGAAACATACGCCAAGATCATCAACTTCCAGGTACATTGACACGCTGACAAAATTATTTCAGTTTTCATTATTTATAAATATTTATGTTTACTTTACCTATATATTGATTTTATGGCTTTGATGAAAACTTGATTATGATAGTCAAATAATGCATTCTATGAGTATTTCTCTAGCAGACCACTGGAGAACATTGCCTAGTTGCAGTTGTCTGAAAATAGCGTGACAAATTTGTTTTAGCCAAAGCAATAAAATAGTTTCTAATTATATAAAATCATTTTCAAATCAGCCTTTGGTTTTGATTCTTCAGTAAGTAGCCTGGTGATAAGAGGGGGACATTTACAGAAACTGGGTCATCATTTGGAAATGTACCTTTTCAGGATGATTCAAAACTGTATTTTTTAGAATACAGTTTGAAATACAGTAGAAAGCATTTTTAAGATTGTGTACTACACAACAGTACATTGGATTTGGAAGGAGCAGGCAAGAGTAAGACTTCCTTAAAACCCTTTTGCTTAGCAGTAGTTATACTACTAGTGGTATCAGAAGAAGTGATGTAATCAAAAGACATTTTGAAATGTGTCTTCCTCATCTTCATCCCCAGGAGTATTTCGAATTCCCTTCTTCTGGTCCTGAGATTTCAGACAAGGCTCGTTCCTTTATCACTGGGCTCATCTGTGAAAGGGAAGTCCGTCTGGGAAGGAAAGGCTTCAGTGACTTCAGGAGCAATCCCTTCTTCTGTGGACTGGACTGGGCTTCCCTGCATAAACTCCCAGCCCCCTTCCTACCTGAAGTCTCTAATCCAACGGACACCTCCAACTTCGACATCCTGGATGACTGTCTCAGTGAAATGGTATTGTCTTTAGAGAATGTTTCCATACACTTATGAAGAGACCTAGGTTGTGTCTGAAAGAAAGTATAGACATGTTATCACACTGAGAAACCTGGTAAATGGTGCACCCTTAATAATCAACCCAGTCTCACGGCATTTTGTGTTATAGTCACAACATTTAATCTATTGATTCGTGTTCACCAACATGATTTTCCCCTTTTTTTCGTGTCACACAGAAAGATTTTCAAAGCAATGTATTTCTATTTGCCGTCCTTGAGGAAAATAAATGGGGGCTCAGAGCCTCAGAATACTGAAATCAGTATTTTTTTTTTTTTTTTTTCTTCTAATTTGTTATTCTTTCCTAATTAACACACTGTTATTTACTCAACAATAACACACAATTCTCCTTGTTTTTATTTATTTGTTTAATTCTATAATATCTGGCTTTTTTGCCGTCCGTCAGGAACTGAATTTCAAAATAAAGTCACCGGAAACAGACGTAGACGATACACACCCACTGAACTGATTACCCAAGATCCTCAGCTATGGTGGAAGCTCGGTAATTGCAGCGCCATATAGATAGAATCTATCTATATGGCGCTGGGTAATTTGATGTTTTAGCCGCAATGCACGTTGGGATATGATGTTTATGCAATATGAAATCTGAAAAAATGAAGAAATAATACTTTATTCCGAGTGTACTTTTTCTCTTTGGACGTCGTCATATAACGGCATTTTATAAAACGGACAAGTCAAATCAAGCAATCTGATTGGTTCTTAGCCGTGATATACTGAGCGTATAGCACGGGTAAAATTGTAAGTTACTTTTCACAACAAGTCAGTATCCCTCCGC